TGTTTGTTTGTTTTTTCTCCGGTACCGGGAACCGAACTCACGACCTTGCGCTTGCCAGGCAGGCGCTTTTGCCGCTGAGCTAAATCCCCAGCCCCGGCTTATACTCTTCTAAACTGTCAAAGTCATGAAAAACAAAAACCAAGAAATTTGTCAGGTCAAAGGACAATGAAGAGCACAAGACAGAATGTAATGTGTAATCCTGGACTATGAAGATCAATGTAAAGAACATTACTGGAACAGGTAGAAAAATGTGAATATAGTTTTTTTATTAACTAACAGTTTACCCTCAGCATCACTTTAGCAGCACACTGTTTATATACTGATAACCCTTAGCACTGCAAGGGCCGGGTGCTATCTTAACCAGTTAATTTTTTGTTTTGTTCTGTTTGTTTTTGAGACAGAGTCTCTCTATGTAGCTCAGGCTGGTTCTGATCTATGTAGCACAGACTGGCCTTGAACTTGCAGCAATCCTCCTACCTCAGCCTCCCTAGTACTTGGATTACGTGCATCTACTACCACGCTTGGTCAGTCTCCAACCAACTGATTCTTGTATTGAATAAATTTGATAAAATTGTAGTTTTTATATTTCCTGTTATATTATTAAATTAATGAAAAAATATGCAATTTTTGGTCAACCTATATTTAAATAATTGGACTGCTAAGTAAGTAATTACATAATGCTAAATTTCCTGACTTTAAATACCATTTTTCAGTTATATGAAAAGTCTTTGCTCTCAGAAAACATGCTGAGAGCCAGGGGTGTTGGCACACACCTGTAATCCCAGGACTCGGGAGGCTGAGGCAGAAGGATCGCTGTGAGTGAGTTTGAGGCCAGCCTCCACTACAAAGTGAGCTGAAGGCTAGCCTGAAGCACATAGCGAAACCCTGTCTCAAAAAGACAAAAAAAAAAGAAAGAAAAAAGAAAACACGCTGTACTTTCTAGGGAGGGATAAAGAATGACATTGAGCTGGGCATAGTGGTGCATGTCGTAATCATAGCACTCAGGAGGCTGAGGCCGGAGGATCACCACATGCTTGAGGCCATCCTGACGTACACAGTGACTTCAAGGCCAGCCTGAACTACATAGTAAGATCTTATCTCAAAAAAAAAAAAAAGAAAAAGAAAAAGAATAATGAGTCTAACTTTACTCAGATGGCTCACTTGTGGCAAATTTTAATAACTGGTAAGTCTAAGTTAAGAATATAAGGGATTCTTTCTAAAGTTTTCTAACACTTGTGTAATTTTGAAATTTATTAAAAAAAAAAAAATTATGCCAGGTATGCTGGTGCATGCCTGTAATCCCAGCACTCAGGAGGCTGATGCAGAAGGATCGCTGTGAGTTCAAAGCCACCCTGGGCTACATAGTTGAAAACCAGACTAAACTACACAGTGAAACCCTGTTTAAAAAAGCCAAAACACAAAAAGAAAACCTGTAAAGACACTGCTATCTTTAAAGATTACCAGAATATAATTAGAACGCTATAGATGCCGGGCATGGTGGCACATGCCTATAATCCCAGCACTGGGGAGGCTGAGGCAGGTGGATTGCTGCGAGTTCGAGACCAGCCTGGGCTACAAAGTGAGCTCCAGGCCAGCCTGAACTGCATAGCAAGACCCTGTCTCAAAAAGACCAAAAAAAAAAAGAAAAAAAACCAATTACAATGCTATCAAAATATTCCTTAGCTCCAGACAGGTGATCGAGTTTGACATTTCTACCATTAGGTTTTTAAATTTATATGTACAGCAATAAATGTTTGTTGACTATTAAAACTTTCCCTTCCAATTCTGGTAAAAGGTCTTTAAAAAATAAAAAGACACACCCCACATGAATATATACTTCTTACCTGAGACATCCATCTGTCGTCTCCTTGAACATCCTCTGCTGCATGTGGAATAGCTGCTGGGTTTGAATCTCCCTGGCTCATTCTACACCTGAGGAAAAATGTCCATGTCATGTTTCATTTATTAACAGAAATGTTTGCTACCAATAGTTAAATATTAACCATCAAATTTTAAATAATAATTTGTTTCACTTTTTTTTTTTTTCTAGAAAGGAAACTCAGGTTTAATTTTAACAGAGATGAATTCCAGGACATGACTTCTTAAATCCCATAAATACAGCATCACTAATCTTCCAGACAAGTCTGAGTATTACTTAGAGATAGCACACTACCTTTAAAAAAAAACTTATTGGGGCTGGGGATTTAGCTCAGTGGCACAGCACCTGCCTGGCAAGTGCAAGGTTGTGCGCTCGATTCCTGGTACCAGAAAAAAAACAAAAACAAAAAACAAATTAAAAAAAACTTCTCTCCAGGTGTGGTGGCGCACACCTGTAATCCCAGCACTTGGGAGGCTGAGGCAGGAGGATGGTTGCGAGTTCGAGACCAGCCTGGGCTACAAAGTGAGCTCAAGGCCGGCCTGAACTGCCTATCGAGACTCTGTCTCAAAAAGACCAAAGGAAAAAAAAAGACAAACTTCTCCAAGTAGTATACACTTTACATCTATGTAAACTTTCCACGATTACATAGAACAGTAAGTACCAAATGCCATAAGGAGTTGGACACAGTACAATGAAGTCTACATTATATACTGAAGAGTACAACAATGATAAACATCCCCTAGTTACTGAGTATCACATAAATGTAGTAAAATTTATAATAAAAAATAGTTGGCAGAATTTAGTACCAGTTTTGGTTGTTTTCTTTTGAGACTGGGTCTAAAAACAGTGGCTTGAACTTGTGATCCTGCTGCCTCAGCTTTCTTTTTTTTGTCTTTTTGAGACAGGGTCTCACTATGCAGTTCAGGCTGGCCTGGAGCTCACTTTAGCCCAGGCTGGCCTCGAACTCGCAATGACCCTCCTGCCTCAGCCTCCCAAGTGCGGGGATTACAGGCATGCACCACCACACCCAGCCAGTACCTCAGCTTTCTGAGTGCTCAGATTACCGGCATGTACCAGCACACCCGGCAGGTACTAGGTTTTGACAAATGCCCACTCGGTATTTTTGACAAGTCTCCACTAAAAAAGTTTTAGTGATGATGAACTCAAATATGGCATAGGCTAGTAGAAAAGAAACAAATTCAGAAAAATTAGAAATGTCAGTCTTCTAGAAAGACAAATAGGAAACCAAATGATTTTCAACCAGTTGTAAAGAATTAGATTCTAAATAGAAAGGACAATGCGAAATAGAAAATTCTAAGATCTTGTGGCTTTTATTCTAAGGCTATCTTCTATATAAGCAATCTTTTTCTTTTCTTTCCCAGCCTCAAATACAGCTAGCCTTTCTGTGAAAGACTGACTTATGTTTATCCTATAAATATACATACATACACACAGAGGTATACACAGTATGATGTATATATTACACATACACACATAATGAGTACATACAACACAGTGGACATTGCCAAGGTAGTAGTTTTTCAGGGTATTTTACAGTGCTAGGGGTCAAATCCAGGGCCCCATGAATGCTTTGTCAGTGTTCTACCACTGAGCTATAATAAAAGCCCACCCAAAGGTAATGGATTTTAGAATCCCAAAGTACTAACCTCTGCTAAACACAAAAACGTATCTTCTTGGGAAAAATAAATTGCAAAAGCAAACAAGATTAACACTAATTATATAAATGAGCTCAATTCTAAATGACAGTAGACCTAAACAAACAAACCCCAACCAGGGTGAGGGCTAGGCACCCTATCTGACTGAAATGTAAAATATCATCTACATCTTGGGCTTGCTTATTTGGATTACTACACCTGACAACTATCAGAAAATAGCTGTAAAAGATAACAGCTATAAGAAATTATAGCTATTAATTATACCTGTATTATAGAACATATAGGATATGTATGTATGTATGTAGGTAGGTAGGTATTTATTGTGGTACCGGGAATTGAACTCAGAACCTTATACTTGCCAGGCAGGTGCTGTGCCACTGAGCTGTATCTCTGGCCCCCTAGATGTTTTATAATACCATTCCAACCCTCACAAAAGTACTATAAAATGAGGAAAACAAAGGTGAAAGAATTTAGGTAATTTGTGTAGTGAGTGACTGATTGTGACCTGAAATTAGGTTTGTCTGATCCCAATAAAGTCACAACTGGCCTGCTGATCACTAATCAATTCATATTGACTCCCTAAAAGGGGCCTTATATCTAACCGCTTCACCCAGGAGACATGCAAGTTCCAGCTGGCCTTAAACTCACTATATAGTCCTGGCTGGCCTTGAACTTGTGGTGATACTTCTGTCTCAGTCTCTTAAATTCTGAGATTACAGGTATGTGCCACCATGCCTGGCAAACTTTTTGTTTTGTGACAGGGTCTCACTATGCAGTTCAGGCTGGCCTTAAACTCACTTTGTAGCCCAGGCTGGTCTCGAACTCACAATAATCCTCCTGCCTCAGCCTCCCAAGGGCTGGGATTACCGGTGTGTGCCACCACGCGCAGCCCAGCAAGCTACTCAGTACCAGTGGTATTAAACCTATGGCATGTGTGCCACAGCAGGCATGCAGAGCCCTCTCTGTCAGCACACCAGCCAAGTCACCCCAGGAGCTGAGCATTGAATGACAGCACACAGAGGGGCTGTGTTGGCACTCTGCAATAAATAAGTGGGTTCTGAGTTGCAGTTTGGGTACTTGGTCTCAAAAAGGTTCACCATCACTGTTCTATACCTCTTAAGAAAAGCTCCTTTGCAGCTGTGCATGGTAGTACACACCTGTAATCCCAGCACTCAGGAGGCTGAGGCAGGAGGATCACTGCGAGTTTCAGGCCAGTCTGGGCTACACAGTGAGTTCAAGACCAGTCTGAAATGCAAAGGGAGACTTTGTCTCCAAAAAGACAAAAAGAAAAAAAAAAGAAAGAAAAGGAAAGGAAAGAAAAGAATTCAGATTTTTAAGAATTCACATTTTGGAATATTTCAGGTTAGGGATGCTTGATCATTATTGCTGAGCAAACCAAAATCTATTACTCTTAAGCAAAGGATGTTATGTTCTACACAGGAAACACAATATGAAAGTCAAAAATTCTAATTTACCAAGCAGTTTCACCTATTTTTTATTATCACTACACAAATTTAGTGGCATTCTAACACTAAGCAAAACACTTTTCCATTTGAATCCTAAATTTCTTCACTGACAAAATAAAAAAGCTGTATGGACAGAATAAATGAGGAACAAAATGTCACCTGTCTAAAACTAAATGGTAGCTGTAACTGTAAAAGGGTTAAAAATTATTCCCAACTAGGTAGTGCCATCCTGCCCCAACCCTTAACTGAATACAAGGCCATCCTTTCTCCCTGAGGGCAAAGTATCTGAGCAAATTTTGTTTCTTTGTACCTTTAGACACTTGGATTTTGAATTATTTTGCCAAATCAAATATGTTATAATACAGAGTAGCTCTCATAGTTTTATGCCTATGGCTTGGTAACATTTTTAAACTCCAGATAATTGAGCAATTAACCCAGGTGATTTACTAAGAAGCAGAGCTGAAAAACACACCATAAAGGGCTATACACTTAGGGTACTCAAATTTGGGAGTCAGAGAAACTGTTGCATTCTTTACACCAAAAAATGATGAATATACTGGGTGTAGTGGCAAAAGCCTGTAATGCCAGCACTCTGAGAGACTGAGACAGGAGGATTACAAATCCGAGGACAGCACGGGCAATTTAGCAAAACTGTATTTCAAAATAAATTTTAAAAGGGCTGAGAATTAGCTCAATAAGGCCCTGGGCTATGGAGTGATAATCAGGGGTTATCCACAGAGAAGCCTGTGGCAGACCATAAAAATCTGAGTGAGGGGCTGGGGATACAGCTCAGCAGCACAAGTGCCTGCCTGGCAAGCACAAGGTCCTGAGTTCGATCCCCAGTACCTAAAAAATAAAAATCTGAGTGACTGCAAATGGCCATAATTCCAAAACTGATATACAGATTTAACACAAATCCAATCAAAATACCAATAGCATTCTTCACAGATCTAGAGGAAACAATCCAAAATTTCATGTGGAACCAGAAGAGACTCAGACTAGCAAAAGCAATTTTGGGTAAAAATAGTAAAGCAGGAGGCATCACAATCCTAGATTGCAGGTTATATTACAAAGTTATAGTGGTAAAAACAGCATGGGACTGGCACAAAACAGACATATGGATCAATGAACCAAACAGAGGAAGCAGGAACAACCTCAGACACATTCAGCCATTTAATCTTTGACAAAGTAACCAAAAACATACACTGAAAGGAAAATAGCCTCCAGCTAAATGGTGCTGGGAAAATTGATATCCACATGCACAAGACTGAATCAAGACCCGTAACACCTCACGAGGTATTAAAATCAAAATGGATCGAAGAACTAACTGCTAAAACAGAAATAATCTGCTGGCAGATAAAACAGATCAAATTCTCAAAGACACAGGCAATAGGCATAGGCAAGGACTTTCAGAACAGAATCCCAATGGTACAAGAAATAATACTGATAATCAACATATAGGATCATAGCAGATTAAAAAGCTTCTGTACAGTAAAGGCAACATCCAACAGAATGAAGACACAATGAACAGAATGCAGGAAAATTTTTTTGCCAGCTATTCCCCTGACAGAGGACTAAACACTTAGCCCCAGGTACATAAAACTGGATTTAATGAGCCCACCCCTTACTTTTCTTCTGTAAATTTGTACTTTAGCATAATAGTAGCCACCTGTGTGCTTCAGTACCTTTCCCTGAGGGATACAGGAAGCAATCAATGTGTTTACCCACTTGGTATGATGAACACTAAGGTGTGTGCATGTGCACAAAAGTGGCAAAGGAGGATTTTTACCCTCTATGCTCCCTGTATCTTTGTTTTGCCTATGCTTACCTGAGCTCACAGAGGATTTAACAAACACACACCACTCCAGGATTTGTTAAAGTTTTCTTTTGATTCTTCTGGTAGAAGTAGCCCAACTCAGTACAATGGCACATGAAAAACCAGATTTGCAACTTTTGGAGGAGGTCAAAAGTGAATCATCAGGGCCCAGGGAGATAGCTCAGTGGTACAGCACCTGCCTGGTAAGTGCAAGGTCCTGAGTTCTATTCCCAGTATGTATGTATGTATGTATGTATGAATAAATAAATAAATACATAAAATCTTAAAAAAGAATCATCAGAAAAGAGCCGGGTGTGGTGGCGCATGCCTGTAATCCTAGCACCTGGGAGGCTAAGCAGGACTGCTGAGAGTTCAATGCCAGCCTAAACTGTGAAACCTTGTTTCAAAAAAGACAAAAAAAAAAAACCACCCTCAAAACAAAACATCAGAAGGGAGGAGCAACACGATGGCAGAGTGGTAAGCAGCAGAGAAAGCGCCTTTCTGAGAGTTGTCATCCAGATGCTGGACTACAGCAACTTGAGGAAGACAAGGAGGCAAGTGGGTCCCCTGGATGATGTGAAGCATGAATTGAAGCCCACTGACAGAATGAGAGAAACTTGAACGAAGGAGGAGATAGCTGGTGGCACCTTCACCCTGAGATGGGACTCACTGTGCAAGAGGAGAGATTCAAACCTCCGACAGTGACTGCTGGCAACCCCAGAGGCCTCCACTGAGAGATGCAACAGTAGAGAGGAGCAGTGCACATAAAGAACTGCACTAGCTGGTGGTGAGGCTGAGGGCTCAGTTGTCCCACGGATGAGAAAGACTGGCCGGGAGCCATCTTGGAGAGGGGCCAGCTGAGCTCAGAACTCAGCATGGCTACTGGTTCCATCTAGTGGTTCCCAGCTGGGCTCAGGCCCACAGAAAGTGCTCTGACTGCTGCAGGCCAAATGAGTCTGGTCTCAGTCAGAAGGTGCAGGCTCGCTGAGATTATCCACTACCCTGCCAAAAAGCTACTGCTGGCTTGCTGGGATAAATCAACATGGATAAGGATTTTGTCTACACACACTGTCTACCAATGACAGAAGAGAGTTGGTTCTTTGAAAGATTAAATAAAATCAACAAACCCTTAGCCAATCTTATCCAAAAAAGAAAAGAAAAGATTCAAATCCATGCAATTAGGAATGAAAAAGGTGAAATCACAACACACCCTACAGAAACCCAGAAGATCATTTACACCTACTTGAAAATTTATATTCTAAGCCAGACCTGGTGGCTCACACACACCCGTAATCCCAGCACTTGGGAGACTGAGGTAGGATTGCTGTGAGTCCAAGGCCAGCCTGGACTATAAAGTGACTTCAAGGCCAGCGTGAAGTGCACAGTGAAACTCTGACTCAAAAAGACCAAGGGCTGGGGATATAGTTCGGTGGCATAAGTGCAAGGTCCTGAGTTCGATTCCCAGTACCTCCACAAAACGACCAAAAAAACCCAAACCAAACCAAACCAAAACAAAAAAACCTAAATACACCAATATCAATGAATTTGAAGATGTAATTAAAAACTTACCAACAAAGAAAAGCCCAGACCCTGAGGGATTTGCTGCTGATTTCTACAAAAAATTTAGAGAGGACTTAAACTACTACTTCTCAAACTCTTTAATGACATTGAAAAGGAAACAGTACTCCCAAACTCATTCCTGAAAGCAAGCATTACCCTGATACCAAAACCAGAGAAGGACCCAACTAAGAAAGAGAACTGCAGGCCAATCTCCCTAGTGAACATAGATACAAAAATTTTCAGTAAGATACTGACAAGCAGAATGTAGCAAATCATCAAGATTATACAGCATGACCAAGTGGGATTCATCCCAGGGATTCAGGGATGGTTCAACATATGTAAACCAATAAATATAATACACCATATTAACAGAGCCATAGCCAAAAACTATATGATCATCTCAATAGAAGGAGAAAAAGCTTTTGGCAAAATCCAGCACCCATTCATAATAAAAACCCTATAGGAAATTAGAACAGATGTTCTTTATGTCAATCTGATAAAGCCATCTATGACAAACCAACAGCCAACCTCACACTAAACAGACAAAAACTGAAAGCTTTCACTCTAAAATCAGGAACAAGACAAAGATTTCCATAGCCAGGTGTGGTGGTGCACACTTGTAATCCCAGCACTAGGGAGGCTGAGGCAGGAGGATCGTTTTGAGTTCGAGGCCAGCCTGAACTACAAAGTGAGCTCAAGGCCAGCCTGAACTGCAAAGTAAGACCCTGTCTCAAAAAGACAAAAAAAAAAGACAAGGATATCCACTGTTTCCACTCTTATTCAATATAGTCCTGGAAACTTTAGTCAGAACAATTAGACAAGAAAAAGAAATAAAAGGAGTAACAATAAGAAAGGAAAAAGTTAAAATGTAATTATTTGTGGATGACAAGATACTCTACATAGAAGACCCCAAAAACTCCTCTGAAAAGCTGCTAGACTTTTTGTTTTGTTTTGTTTTGTTTTTGTTTTTGTTTTGGTACCAGGAATCAAACTCACAACCTTGCACTTGCCAGGCAGGTGCTGTGCCGCTGAGCTAAATCCCTAGCCCCGTTGCTAGATTTAATAAGCAAATTCTGCAATGTAGCTAGAGACAAAGTCAACGCTCAAAAATCAACAGACTTCCTATACACAAATAAAAAATTCAATGAGAGAGAAATTAGGGAAACACCACCTTTCACAAGAGCATCCGAAAAAATGAAATGCCTAGGAATCCATTTAATGAAGGAGAAAGATCTCTACGTTCATGCTCGCTTTGGCAGCACATATACTAAAAATTGGAACGATACTGAGAAGATTAGCATGGCCCCTGTGCAAGGATGACACGCAAATTCGTGAAGTGTTCCATAT